TTAACCAAGCTTGCTCGGAACCGTACTGGAAGAATATCGGCCCTCGGTCTTTTTTGTAAGGACCTCGCTGCGCTCGGTCCTTACTGTCAAGACGTCGGGCCGATATTCTCCCAGTACGGCCCTCGCGCTTGGTTGATAAGATATATATAAGTATTTTACTTTGTTTTTACAAGGACGATAAAGCAGTGAAATTAATGATTTACATCTTGGACCTTCTCTTTTACTTAGGGATAACAAAGAGAGTAAATTATTAGCAAATAAATTTGCATTGCCATTAACCCATTTCCACCCATTTCCTGTATCATAATGATGTAACTGTTAAAAGCTTGCTTTAGAGACTGAGAAATTGTTAAGTTATAATTAAAAACAAACATTGATCCCCACTAAAATAGAAAAAAAAATTCATGAAACCTTGCTCAGTACTAAACTCTCAGCTTCAACTTTCTTTTCTGAGTAACGTTTAACGGGAAATAGTTTTGTTTTCAAATTTGGTCAAATATGCTTGAAAAGTGAATTTCTTCAATAAGTAGCAGCATAAAATTCGGAAACCGATGGAGAAAAGGAGTACAAGTAGGAAAAAACTAACAAAGATATTACCTGCGACTCAAGAAATTCGAGGAAAAGCAGGAGCTGACAACAGTGCTTTAGCTCAATTTGGCTTATTACTTCAATGTGTTTCACCCGTAGGTCCATTCATCCAGGCCATTTTTACTCATGATGTGGAGATCCCTAGCGCTTGCAATACAAGTAAATCATGCTACATGGCTAGTTTTACAGCCTTTAAGCATATTGTAACAGATCATGACTCTTAAAGTCTGGCTTCTATCATTAAACTTTAAGCTCTAAAAGGGAGAATGCTATTTGATTTAGTGGCTGATCTACACACGAACCTTTTTAATCCACCAATATCGCCATGGCATGCTGTTTAGAGCATAGTTTTCAGATAAAAAAGTGGCTTATGTTTTAATGTTTTAAGCCGGCAACCCCTGTATTGCATACATGAACTTTTTCTGTATCTACGGGCAACCCTTGAGGAAATTTTGACTCCGTTTTTAGCCTGTTCTTCGACATTTTTTAGTGTAATCTGCATATGCCTTACTACAGCAGCTTATTTTGAAGTTAACCTTTGCAGTGATATTGATGTACATTACAATAACACCAGTCAAATGGCAATGGCACCATTTCAAATAATTTGAAATAAATTTAATCTATACTGAATAAATTAAGGACATTTCCACGTTTAAGCTGAAATTTGTTAATCACTTGAAATGATGTTTCTTGGGAATCGAAATTCAGTAACATACAGAAGCCCACTATAGGGATGCTTGTACATGATGCTTCTACTGATAAACGGTTGGAGTTTCCTCAACAAACTAATTTGCATAATTCGGCTTTCATGGTGGCAAAATCACCAACAGCTTGAAGTCACTACGGTGAAGGAAATTAATAAATGCAAGATGTTTTTATATTTCTATGCTTTCGAACAACGTATTAGAAGAAGTCAACCGGAGGTTTCGATGGTCTGGTCTGAAGATGAGAAATATCAACCAAGAAAGAGTACTTATGACCAATTTCAGAAAGCTGCCTAAGGAGTGTTTTTAAATAAATTTTGCGAACCTCTCTAAATGAACAGAAATCAAAATTGAAATGCCTTTGAAACCCCTTCCGAAATATCACATTGTTAAGTGATATAAACGATTTTCTGCTTCATACAGCGTGTTACGAGAAGCGAGCTTGTTAACTTTTGAAACTTTCGATGTCGTAAGAGGTCGAAAAAGGGCCTTTTACAGCTGTGATTGTTGAGAGCTCTAAAAATTTTAGTTTACCATATTTCCAAAAACTAATGCGGTTTTATTTACTTACTACCAAAGATGGTTTTATGGGTAAAGTTTCAGGGAAAACTTTGTTCCGATGCGAAATGACTCGGACCGCTCTTTCAGAGATCGCCACTTCAAGTTGAAATATGAAACCCGTAGTCAGCATTGTGTTTTAGCTAAAAAATTGAAAACAGAGTTGTTTACGAGACAATCATTGTGATAATCAGTTTGCAGCTGCCTTGGAACATACGTACGTAGCCAACAATGTCTGCTCAGAACTGAAGCGAATAAAGACGCAATTGCGAGAATCATTGGAAACGTTATTGTCAACAGTGATTATTTCTCTAGAAACGTTTCTATTAGCCATCGAAGCTTAGGTTAAAGGAAAAATATTGTGGGGCAGTGTACAAAAAGTGAATTCCGTCGAGAGAAACGTAAACATACCGTAGTAATTTGAATATATCAACAAAGTTGAAATGGTAAATTGGCCACCGTTACGATTATAAAAGCTGACGTTTCGAGCGTTAGCCCTTCGCTCCGACGAAGGGCTAACGCTCGAAACGTCAGCTTTTATAATCGTAACGGTGGCGAATTTACCATTTCAACTTTGTTGATATATACAAATTATTTCGTTACCCCCACCGACGCAGCCCCAAACAGTTTCTTTAGAAACTATCAGCCTTTAAAAATACCGTAATTTGTCTGATATAAATGGCAAATAACTGACTAACTAAAATTAAAAAGATGTTATTTGGCATTTAACTGTTGAGCACTGCTTTAAAGAGGCACCTACAACCAAACTCATTTCCCCTTACTTATTTATGTTGAGAATTTGGAGGGAAATTACACGGATCCATTACACACATTGCCTCAAATTTCCTGACAAAAGGAGCCAAAAAAGAAGTGTGGGTAGAAGAGGCAAGTTTCCACCGGACACCTGTTTCCTGTTCGGCACTGTTTTGTGTCACAAATTCTTACTTTTACACTATTCATCAAAGCATTCAATTCTTTTAACTTTAATTAAGCAGCATTTTGAAGCTTTAAACTAAAGCAGACCAGCGACAAAGTAAACAGAAACACGTCGGCAAACTACTCCGTGGCAAATGAACAAGTTATCTCTTTACCTTCCTCTCGTATTTCATTAAATTTCCTGACAAGTGGAGCCGAAATAGAAGAAATTAATGATCAAAAATAGTAATGATAACTAGATGGAATTAGAAGTTTCATCTTATAATGCATAAAAGCGATCTTTGTTTTTTGTTTAGCAATGTTTTTGTGTTACAAGTGCTCAACTCTAACATGACTCATAGAGGCAATTGAGGCTTTTGACATTACTTTGCTAGGATTTTTCCGCCATAGTGGATCAGCGACAAAGCGAACAGAAACCCTACGGCATTCCAAGCTAACCCGAACATGCTATCTCCTCATTTCCTCTTAACTTTATTACCATAAACATATTTAATTTCTTTCCCTTTAAGTTCAATTCCCTTCCGTTTAACCCGAACATGCTATCCCGAACATGCTATCTCCTCATTTCCTCTTAACTTTATTACCATAAACATATTTAATTTCTTTCCCTTTAAGTTAAATTCCCTTCCGTTTCGGTAAAAACCCTTTGGTTCAGAAGACTGAATGAGAAGAAAAGGTAATGTAAAATAACGTAAACGTGCGACTTGGTCAACGCCGACCTTTATTTAGCATTAATTGTTTTCCGCAACGACCTTCACTATTGTTAAAATTGCTTGTTTGTGATTGGTCCAAGCGACTTCGGGCTGTTTTTATTGGTTAGTTCTGCAGCCAATTTGAGTTATATTTTACCATCGTCATAACATACGTGTCAATCAGAGGAGAACTTAAGCTTAGCTCAGAGCGGTCAGCCATAAGTCTTCGGGTGTTGTTATTTTAGGTACAGATTCTATTCAAATCAACATCTAGTTCACCGCCTTCACACGTCTCATCGAACGGTAAGTAGATAAACACAATATCTATGACATATGTCAGGCTTCTGGTTATCGTTTAGGCATTTAAAGTTATTTGAGATTCGCGAAAAGGTCTACAACGACTTTCGCTCGACATTTAATAAAAAATGATGCATTAGATCTCTTTTTGAAAATTTAAATCATTATTCTGCTCACGAACTTTGAATTTTTTTTATTATAGAATTACGCTATAACTGATGCTCACGACATTTTTTTCCAGTTCGGAGAAATTCTGATCATAGTAATAATACTCCAAAGTACGCACCTAGCTATGAAAGTTTGTTTTGGTTTTTTCGTCGGCCTTTTCACTTAAAGTAAAAGAACGAATAACGAAGAAAGTAATTAAATTAAAAAAGGTCGTAGTAGTAGCAAGTAGGATAAATATTGTAAGAAATATATAACTTTTTTAAGAGACATGTTTCGGCATGCTTATGCCATTTTCAATCAATGAGTAACTGAACGCGAGTAATTACATAACAGACAAGTAGATGAATAAAATATTTACAGTATGATGTAATACAAAAGTGGGGACTAATTACAGCGTGACAGCAAACATGAAATTAAAGGTGTGAACTAAAATGCTAGAAAAGTGTTATCATGCTGTAATTGTTTGTTAAGTTCAGGTTTGATCTCATTTATATAAAAAGCTTCTTTCAGTTTTAAATCAATTGAGTTGTTGGCAGAATCCAGAATACTAAAGCAAGAAAGGGAGTATTTGTTCTTGCAAGATGTGTTAAAATGCTTAAAAGCACACGGAAAGCGATAAAAACTCGCGTATTTTTAAGCATTTTAACACGTTTTATATTATAGAAACGCTTATACAGATTCAATGTTTCTATTATCAAGAAATAATGCCAAATTTTTAAAATGAATTTAAACATCATAATCATGTGATCAACCACAGCAGCCTACTCAAACATATCTGTAGTAAAATACTATTGATCATCTTTAATTTGTAATGAGTAGCAACAGATTTGACGTTTCCATGACAACAAGTGTTGGTCCATAAGGTCTGGGTTAGACTCTACCTTCAAGATATCAAAATGCTTCTTTCATAATCGATAATATAAGCGAGAAAGACTAAAATTTTCTCTCGTGTACCCTGAGAACCGATACACAAACCACGATAAATGCACGAAGGCCAAGAGAAAAAAATATCGTAAGATTTGAAAAGAGTTAATGTTTGTTATGTTTTTTTACACAGACCTTGGAATCAAATATGGAATTGGGTTTCACCTTGGCGTATGCTGTTACTATGATCGTTGCTATGCAAGGAAACATATTGCTTATTTACATCGTCTGGAAGAAACGCGAGACTAGAACTTTGACGAGTTTCTTGTTCGTCAATATGGCGGTAGCTGATTTACTGGTGACAGTATTTCATATGCCCGTCTCCATGGCGCACTTTTACGTCACTGGATTTACTGGTACGTTCGGGAATATATTCTGCCGTTTGCTATTCTATCTTGAAGATGTATGTACAGCAGCCTCGATCTTCAGTCTTATCGTGATGGCATTTGATCGATATTTTGCTGTTGTATACCCTTTGAAACGAATGATTTGGTTCCGGAGAGCCAAACATATTCTACCAGTCATTTGGATCGCATCCTGGACCTTCATGGCCGTCACACCATTTTCTTACATGGCAAATGATAGCAATGGAAAATGCTCCTATACAAATGAACATATCCCAAGGGTCGCCTTTTGGACTTACCTGTTGGTAATCAACTACATATTGCCTCTTACCATTATCTGTTTCCTGTATATCACAATTGCGCGAAAGATATGGTTCCACGAGATTCCCGGGCAAGTTGAAACTTCCAGAGTCCAGCCAGATGGGCAGATTCCCACGAAAAAAGTTCTTCGAACGCTCATCATTGTTGTGGTGGTTTTTGCGGTCTGTTGGTTACCCTTGCAAGTGTTCCGAATGGACTTTGCAGCGACGGGTAAAGTATCTTGGCAGCCCGTAGCCATCTACTTTATTTCTTGGCTCGGTCAAGCTAACAGTGCCATAAACCCCTGGCTGTACATCAGTCTAAATGGTAAAATGAATTCAGCTTTTAAGAGGATGATCCGATGCCACGGACAGAGTAACACTTTGTCATTCAGATCATCCACTACGACGATGCGTTCAAACACGGCTGTTAGCACAGTATGAAATCCTTCAGCGGCCCCTAGTTGACCTGTTTATAACACTGTAAATGACAAGTTCTTTTAGAAAGACTGCAGACTTGAATGCACGTACTTCATCCAAAGATTAGACGACGCAAAGGGGAAAGTGTGTAAGGATCAGTAGTCGAGGGCAATGACATCAACTGAGTGCCGCGCCTCGGCTGTTTCGGCTTGATATTTAAAATATTACATTTCCGTGCTCATATCGGGAATGATGTACTATATAAGGTTTGAATGCAAATAGAAACGTCAATGATATCCTATATAGGAACTGAATATAAATAGAGTATAATTCGTTTACTTCGATATAATGAGGAAAAACTTTAACTGACTGACTGCCACTCTATCAAAATTTTCTTTTTGAAACATGATACCACCGTTCTCTCACGGCATTCAACGTAACGTGTTTACTTTCTTTTATTTTCCATATTGTCAATAGCGTTTTAGCCTCTAATTGAGAACCCATGACTTAATGTACGATAGCATACATGTTTTCATCGTGTAGTTAAAAAGCCACAGAAAGCGCTTTAATCGGGACCAAACTGGCATCAACTGCCTGTAAGAGGGCGCTGTCATCTAGTGAGGTTACTGTGTACATTTAGATCCGTAAAATTAAGACAAATAATGTTTTGTTCAAATTAAGGCCTAGTTTTCTTCTGTAAAATTTCGCGAGTGCTGTTTACCTGAAACTTTAATTTGCAATATGAAAAAAATATTTGTGCGTCAAAGGTGTTCACAATAAATAATGTTGTGATAAAAGCCTAGTCAGATGATTGGAATACCGCTGACATCTTCGTCGTAGCGATAAAGGCCAATTTTCTGCTTTTCAAACAGTAGTGCGTGTTTAGCAGAAAAATATTTTTTAAATAAGTGCATACGTTTCAGTGGGTGCTGTTTTTAATATTTTTGAATTCGTGACTGCTGTTCACCGGTGTAAAACAACTTCATTTCACTAAAAATGTAAAAGTAAATAAAAATGTGATTGCGCGTCAAAGGTGCTCGAGAGATAAGAATTTTGCGTTTACTTTTAATTATTTGCGAAGATTGCCTCCAGCGTTTAATCCTTTGATTCAGTGCATTAACAGGAACTGTTTTCGATCGACTGTCTACATTTTTCCAACGAACGACACTGCAACGTTATCCAGCAAGGTTAATGAACATATTTTTCTCTGTATAGTAGTGCGTGTTTAGTAGAAAGGCTCTCGAAAGATTAAGAAAATGATGAATTCATGCAAATTTTTTTACCGGGCGCCGTTTTCTATTTTTAAGTTTCTGATTGCCGTTTTCCTGCAATAAAAACTTTTCTTCCTCTAGAAAGTAAACAGAATAAATATATGGTGTTACAGGCGCCCAAAGATTTGAATTTCGTAACATAAGCCTTGTCAGACGATTGAACATACAGCTGAAATCTTCCACGTAGCGATAGGACTTCTTTTTGCTTTTCAAAGGAAGAACTGAAGAAGAGAAAAAAATCCTTAGTCGCATTCTCCTACCCTCTAGAAAAAAATTCTGAGTCCCCATCATGGGCACTCAGACTACTCACTTTGTCCCACATTCGTGACAAGACGAACATCTTTCCCCAAAACCTTGTTAATCACAATAGGCAATCAAAAGAGGGGAAAAATGTATCTCAAAACCAAGGAGATCTCAAAGTAAAAACAACCAATTTGCTTAAAATGCGTGAAAACGCTGGTGACCAAGTTCAGTGATTGGTTCTAGTTTAATATCTGATAGGTTGGGAGAGTGGTGCGCGCGAGTTTTCTGGACGAAGGATGAGAGCACTTGCTTTACCAAAAGGTGACCGGACAACCGAAATAAAAAAACAAAAACAAAAACAAAAAAACCCTGGGTAAAGTGCATTTTAACGGTACTGTTGTTTTTTTGTACTCTTGTACTCTATTAGAAGAAGAGATATTTGGTTACCATTTCTTTTTTCGCTTATGTCATACTTTCGACTTAGTCCTACTTTAAGGTCTACGCGTGGACGTAAAATTCACTCACTTACTCATTCTCATCCAATCTGTTAGAAAATTAATCAATGCATTAAGACTTGAATTGAACGCATCATCTCTTACCTTCTCAACTAGATTTGCTTCTATCCCCAAAGTCGTGCTATTGAAGCTGTAGCTGGGGAGTGGGACATGAGCCGAAATTTTTGCCTGACTACATAGAGCTATCAGCATAACCCCTGGTTGTTTGTCGCATCGAGGTTAAAGTGATCAACGTCAGTTTTCCTTCTTTTCGCTCCTTTCTTGAACTTCGGTGTTTATTTCTCGAGAAACGTTTTTATCAGGTATCAAGGATTAGGTTGAAAAATACAATTAGTGGGGCAGAGTAAAAACAGTGAAAACCGTCGAAAAAAATCGTAGTTTTTCTGATATAAATGGCAAATAAACGACTCGTTACATATTATATGCTTACTAAAATTAAAACGATGTTATATGGCTTTTCCTTTTTTTCCGCATCGTCACAAAGGCAAGGTGACCAATATATATCTTATTAACCAAGCGCGAGGGCCGTACTGGGAGAATATCGGCCCGAGGTCTTGACAATACGGACCGAGCGCAGCGAGGTCCGCACAAAAAAGACCGAGGGCCGATATTCTTCCAGTACGGTCCCGAGCAAGCATGGTTAATAAGAGATTTATTATATATGCGACTGAAGTTAAAGGGACACAAGTGTGATATCATTCGGGACCATTCGGAACAGTGCCCGGTCCAATACTGGAGAAAATTGGACCGGCAATAGAGCATTTTGATTGATTGATTTTAGTTATTGGCCCTCTGACTGACCGAGTCGTGTAATAATTGCTGTTACAGTGGAATTGAATTAAACTCTTGAGTGCTAAAGTTTCCTTGACATTCTCTGCCATCATGAATCAATAACAAAGTGAACAGAAACTCGACGGCATTTAATGCTACTCCGTGACAATTGAACTCTTCTATTTCTTCTCGCCTTTATTACCATAAATATACTTCATTTCTTTCCTCAAAGTAATTTCCGTTCTGTTTGGATAAGAACCCTTTGGTTGAGAAGAATGGGAAAGAACAGTAATAGGTAATAAAGTCAGTTGAAAAGAGGAAACATTTAATATTTGCGTGAACGTGCGCTTTTTCCAACGCGGACCTTTATTTACCAGTTTTGTTTTCCGTAACGACCTTCATTATTGCTAAAATTGCTCGTTTGGATCGTTACTTTCCATCAAAACTGTGATTGGGCCAAGCGACTTCAGACGGATTGTTTTTATTGGTTAGTTCTGCGGAAAATTTTAATTTTAATTTTCCAACGTCATAACATACGTCTCAGTCAGAGGAAAGCTTAAACTTCGTTCAGAGCGACCAACCATAAGTCTTCGGGCGTTGTTATTTTTGGTACAGATTGCTTACATCCAGTTCACCGCCTTCATACTTCTTATCGAACGGTAAGTAGATAAACACAATATCTGCTTTATATGTCAGGTTTCTGGTTATCGTTTGGGCATTTAAAGTTATTTGAATCCTGCGAAAAGGTCTACAACGACTTTCCTCGACCGTTCATAAATAATGATGCATCAGAGCTCTTTTTGAAAATTGAAATCATTTTTCGGCGCACGAATTTTTTTATCTTTTATATCAGAAAATTACACCATAACCGATACTCTGATCATTACGTGCGTGACAACAATACTCCAAAGTACACACCTAACTATCAATTTTTCAAAGTTTGTTTCAGATTTTTTGTCAGCGTCTTCACTTAAATGTCTTTTGACATTTATTGTCCCTCGAGCCGAATACAAACAATGTCGTAATGATTGTAATTCAAACACAAAAATACATACAAAGCGGATAATTTAACAAAACTCAAAAAAGGGGAAATTATACCTTACCACCCACTAGAAGAAAACTCTTTAAGTATACTTTTGCGCGGTAGCACTTTGTACGTGCTCATGAGTATCTTCCATAAAGAGCTGATATGACTAGAATATTATTTTCTGTCAGTAAAAAAGGAAACCCTCCAGTTCTTATTATCATTATTGTTATTATTACTTTTTATTACTTTTTTTTGCTCTATGGTGAGAATTTCATCTTTGTGCGTGTTAGAGTTGAGTCTCAAGAATAATAGTTAAAAAATAATTACCATAAAAGAAGAATAATGAGATCTGGCATGTCTGAAAGAACTCCAATATTTACATAAAAATGGAACTGATACAGATATAGAGTTTCACCACGTTTCTATTGCGGGTATAATGTGACGGACACTTGTATCTTTCAAGAGATAAGATGTTTTCTTCAAAGACTATTAGCCTAAAATTTGTGCTCTGGGAGAAAGCGGAACAAAATTATTCCGTTTTGCCTGCAGATAACGAAAAATAAATAATGTACATTTACAACGATGACAAAGCAGTGAAATTAATGATTTACATCTTGGACCTTCTCTTTTACCTAGGGATAACAAAGAAAGTAACTCATTAGTAAACACATTTGCATTTCCATTCGCCCATTTCTACCCATTTCCTGTATCACAATGATGTTACAGTCAACAGCTTGCTTTAGAAACTGAGAAATTAGTAAGTTATAATAAAAACAAACATTGATCCACACTAAAATCAAAAAAAGTGAACGACACCTTTCTCAGTTCTAAACTCTCAGCTTCAATTTTCTTTTTTGAGTAACGTTCAACAGGAAATAGTTTTATTTCCAAGTTTCGTCAAATCTACTTGAAAAGAGAATTCTTCGAAAAGTAGCGGCATAAATCTCGGAAATTGATAGAGAGAAAAACGGAGTTTTCTTTTTTTGCTAGCAGATAAGGGAACATAGTAAATGCACCGTGCCCTTACAAGAAGGAAAAAATTGGCTAAGACAGGGCAATCAAAGTTTAAAAGTTGGATTTCTTTTCTTTCATATAACAAAGATATTACCTGCAACTCAAGAAATTCGAGAAAAAGTGAGGGCTGACAATAGCGCTTTAGCTCAGTTTAGCTTATAACTTTGCTGTGCGTTTCATCCGTAGGTCCATTCACCCAGGCAATTTTTGCTCGTGATGTGGATATCCTTACCACTTGCAATACAAGTAAATCATGCTAAATGGCTAATTTTTGCAGCCTTTGAGCATAACGGATCAGATCATGACTTTTAAAGTCTGGCAAATATCTTTAAATTAAGCTCTAAAAGGGAAATGCTATTTGATATAGTGGCTGATCTACACACGAACCTCTTTTTTCACTGATATCGCCATGGCATCCGAGATTTCGAGATAACAATGCAAAGTAGCTTCTTAGGATATATCAACAAAGTTGAAATGGTAAATTGGCCACCGTAACGATTACAAAAGCTGGCGTTTCGAGCGTTAGCCCTTCGTCGGAGCGAATAGGAATGGTGGGTTTTGTGTGCTTTTAAAGGCAGAAAATGGAGCTACGTTATAAATGGAGCTCCATTTTTTGCCTTTAAAAGCACACACAACCCAGAATTCCTCTATCCGCTCCGACGAAGGGTAACGCTCGAAACGCCAGCTTTTGTAATCGTTACGGTGGCCAATTTACCATTTCAACTTTGTCGATATATCTTAATTATTTCGTTACCCCCATCGTCGCAGCCCCAAACAGTTTCTTTAGAAACTGTCAGCCTTTATTCAAAGTAGCTTATGTTTGAATGTTCTAAAGGCCCATTTTCATCCGAGATCCTTTGCAGTCGTTTGTTTTTGTTTTGGAATCGCGCTATTGTTAAATGGCGAACTCTGATAGTCATTCACAAACACTCTTAAAAAGAAAAACAAAGATTTGGTGAAGAACACAGTAAAAAAATTTGCAGCTAAATATTTGAGACTGAAAAATCATAAATCGAGTCTGTGTATAAAACTTGTACAAAGCTTACTTGTTGTTGAAGGAAATTGTTCGGCTTCAACACTAAATAAAATATAAACAATTAAACAACATTGGCCAAAACGGATTTACTTTACGCATTTCAATTATAGAATAATGACTTGTACAAATGAGATCGCTTACATA